AGTGAAACAGCATGGATCGAAATGCGCCAATCAGAGCTATTAAAAAACAACTAATCACAGCAGAGCATCATGCTTTCTAAGATCACGCATGACCAGTAGACCTCATCGCTGAAGAAGACTAGCAGTATGCAGTCGAAACATCGCGAACTACATCACAAGTGACTACATCGTGAGACAAACGGAAAACTTGACTTTTATTGTTATTCACCACGATGAATGACCACAGCCTTTTTTACGAAATAACCCGGATATATGGGCGCACAGCCCTTAGGTTGATTCGTCGACATAAGCGTTGTTCGCACGCTACACCAACCATCTCACCTTCCTAGCGAGGTGCATCAAGAACCGCGTTGTTCCTAAAGATCTACGAGTTCGTCCACCAGGGGAACGGATCAGACTGAGACAGAAGGCCAAGAGAGATGCAAAGAAGGAAACAGAATCCACAGCACAGAGCATAACATCCACTCTCTCGACAAACGACGCCAACAGGATACTAGAACAGATTGAGACCAACACCCAACAAGTCTTCAACACCACCAAAGACAGACATGAGCAGAAGTTTGAGAAACTTATTCGAGAAAAACAGGCGGCTGTGTCACTGGTTGATACACCGTATATTGACAAAACTAAATGAGTTATTAATTTATCTTCTAGGTCCCTTAGCGATGCCGATATAGCCCTGATGAAGAAAGAACTGAACTTCGCCGTAACTCCTGCGAATATTCCTGACACAGAGATCATCGCCAAGGTCGAAACAGCCGTAAGACAACTCGACGCCGAACAAGCAGATACTGTGAGAAGAGCTGTTAACGGTATTCTTCAACAGGCAGAACTACCAGAGCCTAACATCACGAAGGAGATGCGAGATGCACTTAAAAGCCGGAAAGAAGACCAGTCCATCATGGTTCTCCCAGCAGACGAAGGGCGCGCTGGCGTAGTCATGGATACCGACACCTACCGAGCTAAGATGTCTACGCTTATTGAGAAGGGACCGCACCAGCTCCTCAACAAAGATCCAACAGACCGTCTGAGCCGCAAGTTGTCGGAAAAACAACCAATCACAGCAGAGCATCATGCTTTATAAGATCACGCATGACTAGTCGACCTCATCGCCTGAAGAACACTAGCAGCATGCAGTCGAAACGTCGCGATCTACATCACACTTGACTACATCGTGAGACAAACGGAAAACTTAGCTTTTATTAATTACCAATTGTTGGTAATCAATCGTAGGATGGACGCGGAAGTACTCAAGATGACCATTTGTGTAAAGTGTTCATGAAATTTAAAGCATAGCGTGTGCTAAGTGAAAAGCCGAAGTCATCAGACTTGCATTCCCTCATTCCTCATTTCCTCTAATCTATACGGAGTCACATCGTAAAAATTTTTTTTATATATGGAGACTTTCTTTGCTCACTTTGACTTTGGAGCCTGAGACTGAATATTCGTCAAAGTGTAGTTAAATGTAGCGAGCACAAACATTCCCACTTTCGTCATCTCGATTAGGTCGCTAAAAGCCGGTTGGGCAACACACCAACCACTAACAAAATGCAAATTAAAAATTGTGTACTACAATAAGTACAATGCGGAATAAAAAAATTAGTCAATTTTACACGCTCTTATTAAGCTAATGAACTATGTTAAATCTTAAAATCGACAAGAGACGAAATATCAAGCGTATTAGGGAGGAGCTGATTCCAATCTCTTGGATTGGTAAAAAAGAAAATTTGAATACGTCTTTCTTACAGTGAGATTCGAGAAGCTTTAGCCTATGGCTGCTCCAAGTCAAGGTCTCATTACTAAAATTTAAAAAAGCGCTAATCTTTCTGTCAACTAAACCATGGAAAATCTTTTTACATGGAAATCAAGCGAGATATTTTCCTCCTTCCGATAAGGGTGCAAAGTTCTAATTTTTCCAGCGTGGACGTGACGTTTGACGAGCAGTCATAATCGCTCGTGCAAAAACGGGTTGATGCTCTTTGCACTCCCCCTAGTCAGACAATGTCGCATTCAAATTGTGGGTCCCAAGCAACGGACGCGTACTCGAGCTTAGGCTGGACTGGGGTATCATAACGTCTCTTCGATGCTCTCCGTGGGGAACCAGAAATTTCTCCTAACCAAGTCTAACATCCTGTTGGCGGATGATGTATATGTTCCTTCCATCTAAGTTAATTATTTATTTTAACTCCTAAGTACGGATGTGCATTTAAAATTTTGCCGCAGAAGTAAAATTTTGCGAGTTGTGGTTACATATGATACCGTCGGAACTGAAAAAAATTGGAAGAATCCAAGGTTTTCTCCCGTTATCTCGGCATCTAATTCAGATACATTTGCATTCATAATCAATCTTCGGCTGCAGAGAAGAAAGCAAGTCACATTTTATGGCTTGAAATACACCTCTGCCACGGGCACCAGACATTCTGTCTTTCGTAAATATGGAGTAGCTCGAAGGAAAGATTTCACCATCCTCAATGTCTGGAGTAAGCCACGATTAACGTCATGGATGATCAGATCTTGATCGAAAAACTGAGATCTAATACTGTGACAATTTGAAAGGCAGAAACTTAGCACTGAGCGCACCGAAGAGTTAACCTTGCACCGTTGTAAGCGAACAGTATCAGTGCCATTGCCTATAAGGCCCACAAAGATGACATTCTTCCATAACGAAAAATAGATAAAGAACGGGTTTGATACCGGCCGTTAGTTATACGAACCGCTTTAGAAGACAAAGCATCAGGACCAAGGTGAGGATGAACGTCCCCTCAAATTAATTTAGCGGTGGACGAGCTCTGAAATGTTGCTGAGCTATTTGAATGATATGATATACGGCCTTTCAACCATCTGGTTTTCTTCCTTTTCAACGCAAACACTGGCGTTTTGTTCGGCGCAAAGAAATCATGGGGGAAGCTTGATAGAAAGCGTATCCGGCTTGTACGATGCAATCAGTGCGGGTGTTTCCAGAGGGAGCTTGATTGAAGAATGCAAATGGAGCCAAGGGATCAAACATGCGGACGAAAAAGAGCGAGTGTGGATTTCAGAAAGGAAAAAATTACCTGGAAAATTACCTTAAGTTAACTGTAGGCCTGAATGTTCACGTAAACGGTGAAAATAAGTTAAATTAATAAATTTTATTCTTGTGTTTATCACACATTCACCTACTATCAGATCAATTTAACCTTTTTTGTGATGATAATCGGTGATTAATTCTTCAATTAATTTATTTTCTGATTCATCATATACTCAATTTAATTAACAAAATACGTTACAGTTATAATTTATAGTTAAGAGTTTTATAGCAACTGAAGTTCATAATACCACCAAAAGGACTCAGTTAGGGCGCCCAATGCAAACGAAGTATACTTTTACTGCTACGTCGACATGAACAGCTATGAAAATGACATTGATCCGAGGGCTATAGACCCAGATTTGAATTTATCTGGTTGGAAATACTCCTTACGAAAATCCGAACTATTGGAAATTCGAACCACCGAGCTCTAGAACTCAAACCACACAGTGTAATTAGGATAAATGCATGTTTTAAGCGATTAATCAAAAGAGAAAGACGTGTACTTCTATATTTAGGCGAAAATCAGCAACATGAGGGTGAATTAAATGTATTCACAGTTCTAGGTCTACATAAGTGGGCGGAGTTTTTTTATGTGCCATATTTCAATCATCCTCTCTAACTATCTTGCACTCAGTTATCGTTAAAAGTTGGTATACGCTTTCTTACACTAAAACGTCGTCAATATTTGCGTACAAACTGCTATCGTGTTTCTTCATATTGACGTTAGCCTACAAGAAAACCAAAAAAAAAAAAAAAACGTGAATAAATTTATCCAAGAATAACATTTACTTCGGTGATAATGTTATTAGAGTGAGTTTCTCCAGGGAATGAAATGGCATTTGACATAATAATGAGAAAGTAAAGCAGGAAAAAACCATCGTCTTTGATCTTAAAATAATGCGATACCATAACTCAAAGAGAGGTGCAAGGAATTACTCTAACAAACTTACGTTCTCGTTTTGCATCAATTTTTTAAGGGTGCCTTCAAGTTTAGAGATTGTCAATTAGTTGTTTGGAGTCTCTTGCCAACACTGCAACATGATCTGGTGGCTAAAAGACATTTTATAAGATCAACATCTTTAGCTAGCAGCACCACACAAAACAAACTGAGGGAAATATAATAAAAACACTATCTATTATACAAAAATCGACGAGTTTTCTTTCATCTTAGTAGACACTGAAAATATTTTAATTACCTGGACATCAATCTGGTTTTTTCGGCGATTATGCCGCTGACTGTTAAGAGACGAATAAAAACATACATGATAAAAAGACGCAATTCGGGATTTCTGTTGCTAATAAAATGAAGGTCAAAAAAGTCGTACATTTTTTACTGATGAAGTATACGATGCCAAAATTACTATGAACAATAGTGTACCATCCAAATCTGGTGGGGACTGGTTCATGAAGTAAGTTCAAAATAATGACTCAAACTAAAGGGCGACTTGTAGATACGAATGAAGAACAAACCGAGAAAAATTATTTGAAAAATAAAAAGGTGAGACCAACACTGGGCTGCTTTCGCTGTAACAAAATTTAGCATTAGTAGAAGTTTTTAGTTTCCTTTGTTTAAGTTTTGATGTCAAGGAACGAATTTTATGAGACTGAGTGACAAAATAATGCTCACTTGTAAAATGAAATTGAAGAAATTGCAGGAAGTAGATCTTAATAAATTCATGCGTTGGCGCGGCTTGAAACAATCTTTCCTAGACGCGCGTCAGGCGAAGACACAAGATGGGAACAAATTAAATTTTAGTAGGCCTTAAATTTTCACAGATGAAAAAGATTGTTCCTCTCACTTACTCGTTCTTTCTTTTTTCCACAAAAAAGCACAAAAACGTTGATTATCTTGAGACTTCAGAAATTAATATACGACTTCAAAAAAAGCGACAATAAAATAGAAAAATAGTATAGCTAACTATAATAAAGACCTTACAATGAGTAGAAACTAAATTTCTACCAACCTTTTTTGCTTTAATGAGCCTGTAAATAAGATAAAGCAACATACGCTCAACTCTCTCGTAGGCGGACATCCTCGGGAATTGGAAAAAGTGTCTTTTAGTAGAGGTGTCTGCCACGAGAAATACTCCCATAAGTTGGCACCAAAGAAAAACAGGGTGGATGTCCGCTTACAGGAGGGTAGATTGGCAGGTTTTAATTACATGTTTTATTGGGTAGCCAAAAATAGCAATTGAAATTCTTTACTGATTTCGATGTTAAAACTCAAAAGATTTAAAATAGAAAAGAAATATACCGTAAAACTCTTCTATATTTCACATAAATTTAAACGGGGCATACTGCTGCCATCTATAGGTGTGGATACATTAAAATTAAAAAAACGGAAAGTCTTAAAAAGAAAGAAATAATTTCTCTCGAGCAGGAAACCGAAAATATCTGATCACGGCAGTCAAACGGTGACTAGTAAAACGGCTTTTATATCGAGAACCCAAGTGCGACGTAGATTTTTGCAGGTTACAAGGAACGTTCGAAGTCCCTCGGGCCAAGACTTAGATACGTTGTGGTTTCAGACTTCCTCCAGTACTTTGTGCTAGTTCACACTGCAATAGCTTTTTTTACAGTTAGAACGGCGGTGTGATTAATTCGCCCAAAAGCTTGTCCGTGCTGCAGTAATTGTTGTTTGTCGTGTTCATATTGGAGTTACCGGTAAACACCGGGAAAATTAGTGAAAAAAGGAAGAAGCAGAACCACACAAGATATTTTTGACGATAAGAAATCTATGTTTATCGCGGATAGTAGACTAGGAAGAACTGCAAGGGTAAAGAGAGGTTCTGTCCTATGCCTTCTGCCCCAAAACGAAGCGTCCGCACTTAAAACAATTGGGATCTTTTACAATCAAGCTGGAACAAGATAACAATATTAGAGCTTTCTCCAAATCCTTCTCTCGCTTGTCTTACGTATTGGAATAGTTGCAAATTTAACCTTTTCTTCCTCACTTTACGCGTTTGGAAGTCCGCCATAGCATTTTCAGACTCTTGCGGATGCACAGTGTCTGACCGCTTTACTGACCAATAGGGATTACGGCAGAAGTAAAAGAGAAAATTAGATCAGGTGTCTCACCTTGCCTGTTCTTCCCTCTCCAAATGACAAACACTAACACAATAATAATCACCAAAAGTAGAAATATTGTTGTCGAGTAAATGGCGTGATGCATAATTTGCTTTTTACGATCGTCACTTTGACCTGCACCTTGAGAAAAACCAACACGTGTGTAAACATACATAGCAATAAAAATAAAACTCTTATAGAGGCCCTTATCCTACGTACATTCAGAGGGGCGATGGAGTAATCCAGCATCTTTCTGTTATAATATTTATCTCTTTTCTCAAAGATTGGTCTTTTGAGTGAATTTCACCTTTATCTTGCACCCGTGTGAATTTTTAATCTCACCCAAGAGAATCTCTTGAACAACAGAAAAAGTATTTTTAGACCCAACTTTACCACTCCTGTTCACTTCTTTCCTCTCTTAATGCCAAAGAAAAAACACTAAATTTCATGACACTAGTGGATGAATACTCAACGTCATACAAAACAAATATTCGCATAGCAGTTCACAATTCAAAACTTATCTATGTGTGGGCAGTATCGTGTCACATTCAAACAAACTCGCCTAAACGAGGAAAGAAAAAAAATGCACAAGGTTTGCATTCCTGAGTTAACTCTAATGCTGATTCAGCTCAAAAGTTAGTCTTCTCAAGAACAATTACCCCCAGGGTTTGCTCTGATATTTTATTTTCCACATTATTTCTGTGAAGTTTAATAGTTAGCCTTTGTTTTCCTTTATCAGACCCAGTTCTCCTAGATCGCCTGCAAAAACACTGGTCATAGACTGTTGCCTTCAAACCATACCATACCTTTATACTAAGAAAAAGAACAATTATTAACTTTTCCATTACTTCGCAGGTTTTAGTAAAAGATAGGGTGAACCAATCGAACTAATCAGCAGAGAGCGAAAAACTCATATCACAAGTCCTTTGGAAAATCTTGTTTCGGGTATAATTGCATAGTTAGAGATTTTGAAAATAAAGGAAGTTCCTTCTCACCTGATGCCACAATGCTAGTTAAGGGAACAGCTGGAAAGGAATAATTAGTGTTTAGGCATTAAAAATTAATTAAACGACAAAAAAGATGAGATCATTAACAAACGCTTCCGTTTAAAGTTTTTTCAAGTATTTAAGGAAAGCGACAAAACTTTTAGGTCTGTAATACATGTTTCGACAGAAACTTCGGTCATCTTCAGTTAATTAATGTACAAAGCATTGGAAGTTGAATTTATATATTAAGTAGAACAATGCTAATTATAATAAATGGTGACAACAAGGAAAGAGGTAAAGCGTGAAGGATAGTTTTAGATTTACATAGTGAAATTGTTGGTTCAAGGATGCTTTTTTTTTCAATATGAATAGCCTCTTTTATCTTGAGTTGGAAACCGGTAGAGGCGTGATCCAATAATGGAAGCTATCTGCTGAACACAAAGCGCGACAATGTTTCAAGTAAAATTGAAAAACGACGATTTAACAACTAAAATTTTAATTGATTTGAAGAGAAGAAAAGACACGAGCTTGTCTAGCACTTTCACAGTGCCCTTTGTTAAGGGTACAGATGGAAACACTTATTGAATATACAAGTATTTAGGCAAGCATTGGTACGTCAAAATCAAGGTTACGAGCATGAGAAATAGCGATTTATAATAAACATATTGATAAATACCATAATTTCTGTTGTAAGCACGCCATTTCTAACGGTTTAAAAGTTATTTAATTTCAAAATAAAAAAGTTCTCACTCACCTGTAGACGTAACGTTTGTGAAGGGGCCAGCTGGAAAAAGATTAAGCAATCACTAAACATATTTGCAAGGCACAAAGGATAAAATATGATTAAATTACGAGAATAGTATTTCTTGTAATAATTATAACTTCAGCATAAAGTAAACAATTTTAGTAAAGGTAGTTAAACTAAGAAAACAGAAAACAATAAACGAGTTTTTCTTGTACATTTGCAGCACACTATATTAAGGGTGCATATAGATGTACCTAAACAAGTGTTGGCATTTTAAATAAATAGAAATACCAGAAGTTCTCTTGGGCGAATACTTGTTTTGATTTTTTTTTAATGTCGTAAGTTGAAGTAGCTATTCTGCAACCTCCGCGAACGTTCAAGTGATCTCTACATTAAGTCTGATAAACACTTATATAACGAATATATACATGGTAGAAAGGACCTCACAAGCGTAGTTATGGATTCGAATTGTTGATAAAATTTCTCTTGAGTAGCGAAGCCAAACATCGATAGATATTATTACAAACGAAAGATACAATTTGCATTTACGCACAGTGCGTGAAAATAACACCAAAAAATTATTCGACAATAAAGAACAAAATTATTTGCAAGCCCTTTTTTATAAAATGTCAAGAAAAATAGAAAATCGACGGTTATAATCACTTAGTTCATTGATTAGAAAATAAATGGGATTTTGTCTCTCACCTGTGGCTGTAAAGTTTGTAAAGGGAACCGAAGCTGCAAAAGAATAACCAATGATTAGACAAATTTTTATGAAACCCAATAAAATATTGAACTACGAGATTATAATTTCTTGAAATAAAAAAAAAAATTTCCGCACAGGCAAAAACAATTGCTTAAGGCACTTGCAGCTTAGAAAACAGAATAAAAATTTTGTCTCGCATCTTTACGCTACTCTCTTTACTGGTAGATAGGGGAAAAAGTATTGAATATACACGAATTGGCATTTTAGAGAGAAAGTAACGCACATGAAAAATTATGATTTATCTTAGAATATGAGAAATTCTCCTGTTGCGAAAACAAGGTATCTTCACCGCATGCAGTAAAAGTATCATTGATATTGTTACATAGGAGGCTACTAATTTCGTCATGGTAACAATCATGATAACTTTTCCACATTTTTTTCTAAGAAAATTACCAAGATTGAACTCAATTTTTCTTTGGAAGAATAGTTTTCGCACAACACCTTGATAAATTTATTGTTCCAGAGGTCAGAGTAATTATTCTGTAGCCTCAGTGGCTATGCAAGTGAATTTCAGTCAGACATAAATGTGGGTCACTGATAACTACATTAACTCAGCCTAGGCCGGTCCCAAGCCTGGATGGAGGAGGGTTGGGCAAGAGGCTGAAAACTACGACATAGATGTCCTTGAAATAAGTGAAGCCTGATGAAGAGGAACAGGGAAAGGGAAACTAGTTTTAGGTCACACAATACTCTATTTGGGCAGAGAAGATGACTGGCACACGGAAGCAGTCGCCATGATCATAAGTAGGAAAGTATATGCATCCATGCGAGTAATATAATAAAACATCCTTTATACACTTGAATGTGTGTAACCGAATTGCACCGCGTTCCCCCCCTATCTAGTTCGCCCCTTCGAGTTCGCCCCTACCTTATGTCGTGTTCGCCCCCACACTTTTCGAGTTCGACCCCATCAAGTCGAGTTCGCCCCTGATTGAGAGATATCCAGATGAGTTGATTTATGACGAAGGCACTAGCAGAATGTGCCAAATGTCACGTCAGCGACGATCATTTTGAATTTCGGCAATTGCGTGGAACCTGCTTGGGAACTGGGTTGACGGAATCAACTAAATACTCTGCGTGGGATCTGGGGTTACCAGAAATAACTGTATACACTGAACTTGTGATAAAGAGAACCACACGGTTTATCTAACGAACACGAAATGTGTTGATCGTAACAACCAGACTTGAGAAGATGCAAACCACGCTTTCATCGCGACAGCATTGCTTAAGTTGTTAGACTTGTACCCGTTTAGCTTTATTTATGAAATTAAGACTGAAGAATTTACTCATCAACTTACGAATCAACTCATCTGGATATCATTCAATCAAGGGGTGAACTCGACTTGATGGGGTCGAACTCGAAAAGTGTGGGGGCGAACACGGTATAAAGTAGGGGCGAACCCGAAGGGGCGAACTCGATAGGGGGCGAAAGCGGCGGATACCGGGTAACCTAATTAGCCTGAAGATTACCCTCGATTTGATAATACTGTAGCTTACCTACAAACAGTACAGGGTTATGAGATAAGTTTGTAATTTCCCACAAACGGAAAAATAGAATCTAGATGTCAGGTAGCACAGGCCTTACTTGGATTCAAATCAAGTTCACGGCTCACTGTGAATGACCCAAGCCTTCCATCTTTGATTTCATCTTCGAGTGGTTTCAAAGGATCAAGAGCAGATTTTTCAAACTTGAGCTCTACTTCAGCAACAACACTACCGGAGCTATACCTAGGAAAAAACTCACTGTTCAAAGTTTTTTGCATAATAGCAAATGGTTAATACTTATTCATCTTGTCCATGAACGTCACTCTACTGAATATTAATTTTTCAAAAACTAAACATGATGGATACCTTAAAATGCTTGAATACATGTCGATCACCTCTATACTATAACTAAATCCTAAATTAACAGCAGAGGACCATTTCCTTTTCTCAAAACATTTTTTCACAAATGCCTACACTGAGCACTCTTATGAATCATGACACTTACCTTAAATCAACAAGACCCACTGTGTACAGTTGTTTTCCAGGATTTTTTGTGTAGACAGAAGAAATCTTAAACAAATATAAGAAAAAAAGTTATATTAAATGCTAAAAATGCTTAAACGTACAATTTAATTGTTCATGCAGAGTGAGAAAGCCTTGATCGCATCTGCTCATATGAGTATATAGTTTTAGGCTCACAGCACTTCTCCAATTAGATGGGTAAAATTTACAAATTTCTATGGCTATTGGGACCTGATCTCTGAATGTCATCAGACATGAATAGAGGACAGGAGAACAATCAAATCGCAAAACTCCAAGATTTATTCCACGTGACCCTGCTTTAGAAGTAATTAAAGTGTATAAGTATCCTATTGTGGCAGTTAAAAACAGTATCTCTTCTCATGTTTTACTTACCTATCAAATGTAAGAAACCAAAAATTGAAATCCAAGTATCTAAATTTAATTTTACGATAGATGTACTTTGCCTTAAAAGAAGAGCATCAAGTCTACTAGTTCCCACAGGTTTGTCAGCTAATTTATTACAATTCAAAAGTCTGTTTTACTTGTAACTCAAACATCCTTGTAACTCATAGTGAAGGAAAACTCTTCACTGAATGCTGAATGAAGAGCAGAGCTATGAAAAGAAATTTTTTTCAATCATTACTACAAAGATTAATGCCACCATCTTAAATGGATAAAAGGGATGCTAATAAGTCAGCCAGTAGTCGAAGAGAGGAATTACAAGGCATTTTATACTCAAACATCAATAATTTGCAAATCACCACTCTAAGGTGAACAGATTAGATAAAAGGAGGATTTTACTTAATAAAGGCAACAGGATACTTACTTCTGATAAAAACTTTGACTCCAATATTTTGAACTCAATTGACTCTCTGTTATTTAAGGCTGAAGTCCAAACTTCACTCAGTAATGTTATTCCAATGCTCCTATTTAAACAATCATTACCTAAAGTGTGATGAACAAAAATTAGAATGCATGAATAGATATTATTAGTTAAATGTTGTTGACCATTGCTGATATTGAACATATTGCATAGCCACCCCTGGCAATAAAGTGAAAAAAAAAAACTATGGCATGTTTTGGAAACAGTTGAAATTGCTGTTTTTCATTGAACTTCACGCTTTGACCTCTTGACATATATAAAAAACAATCGGATATTCAGTTTGCCCTTTGAGATGGGTTAAACTGCAACTTAACATTGGCTTCATGCAAAGGCAAGAGTAAGGAAAAATATTGTGCCTAGTAAACTTACCTCTCTCAGTAACATACAGCATGCAAATCAGTTTATCATTATTACTAATCAAAAATAAAGTAGTGTCTCAAATTGTGACCAGCTGGTTGCCAAAGCCACTGAAAATGGACTGTTGGCAACAAGACTTTCAATACCAGTTTCCACTTCTATTCATTTATTTATTTATTTTTTTGCTTTAACCATTTTATACCCTCAACTGGTGATTTTTTTATGAGTTGAAGAATGTTCTGAAGGGAACATTTTTCAGACCCTACTTGTTTGGTCACCAAATTGTTAAAATTAGCCATTTAAAAAAAGCTTATCGACTGATAATTCACACCCACATAACAAAGCTAGCTTTGATCTCTGTTAAAGTAAGTGCATAAATACTAAAAAAAAAAAAAAAAACTGTTTCACAGAGACAGACACCTCTATGCTTGGCACTAAGACAATCTAACAAAAATATAGTATTGACATCTCAACAGGAGAGAAAGTAAATACTTTTTCTCTCTATTGTGCTAATTCCATGCCACTGTGCCATTTTGCAGTTCAACATGAATCACAACACCATTGTGTCTGTTTAAAATCAAAGTATAAACAATTTACAAATGCATTGCCGTAATTAATCAGATAAACAGGACATACTACTTACATCTTATGCCAACAATACTGACACTAGTAGCATTATCTCCAAATCCATTACTAGCTGTACATCTATATGATCCTACATCCTCCAACCTCACGTCAAACAAATCAAGCTGGTAACCTGTCACATAAAACCTATCCACAGGAATGCCATCTTTTGTCCAAGAAATATTGGGAAGAGGGTCACCAGATGCATTACAGATCAAAGTATGGTTTTCTCTGATGGCAAGTAAAGGCTTTAGCTCTGGTGGGTCAGTAATTTCTGGAGGAACTGTGAAATAACAATTAAAGATAAATACATTGTATCTAGATTTTGCAATATCATCACAGTTATTGCATAATACTATATATTAATTAAAATTACAATTGCCCCTCAAAGGAATTACAAATGTTAAAATAATATTGTTAATTAACAGGGAATCAATGATTATAACAACTAAGATAGCCCTTAAATGAATCACTATATCAGTTACTTGAGTGAGACACTCTAACTTGCAGTGTTTCTCTCTACCAAAGAGAGTGTATTGGTACCAGAAAACTCTCCCGGGAAACCTTAAGACTGGGGGTGATCCTATAATATCGATTACCACCCTCTCCACCCTATATCAAATGATTTTCCTGCCATGTCCTTGTCATGAAAGAATAAAAGTTCAGAAGCTCTTAATAACCACCATCCTGAATTCAGTTTGCCATTGATTTTTGTTCTCTTGCTATTGATTTTGCAGAGCAAAAGGTAAACTCATTCTAGATAAAAACTCTGGGGAAGCAATATCATAAAAATTATGGAAGTGAGGGCCAACTTAGAGGCTTTAAAACAGGTAGGAATTTGACTGCTTGATTTAATCAAAGGTCACCAAATCAATAGCTCTCAAACGATTTCAGCTAAGTTCAAAGTTTCTTAGTAGTGATGTAAAAGAAGGAAAAAAGGAAAAGTTTGCTTTGGCGAACATATAATCTCAGTGGAGACCTATCATAGAACTATGTTTATATTAAAAAAAGTCAGCCTCTGTAAAATATTTCTGTTCTCACATGTCTGAAGTGTTACTGACGACATCAATCTATGCACATTTTTACCACTATCTTGTCTTAAATGAGCCAAATTCAATATTGCAATGGTATCAATCAAGTCACTTGTTTATTGCTCGGTTAACAAAATGCTATGTTTAGCAATTTATTAAAGCTTTGAATATCTATCATCTTGAGGCCTCCTTTATCGTAATCATTGATCATTTGTGTCCTTTTAAGTTTGTCCCCTTTGCTTTCCCAGAGAAAGTCATATAGCAGGGTATCGATTTCCTTAAGTGCACCCTGATGCGTTGGAAGAGAGGTTAAAACATGTACAATTTGGGATACTGCCAAAGCTTTTATTATCGTGATTTTACCTAGAAGAGTAAGTCTCCTAGCAGACCAGCTGCTTAGGATGTTTTTTACTCTCTCAATTTTCTCTGAAAAAATGGCATCGCTAGAACACATCAGAACGTTTTAAAGGTAGTGCAAAATGCGATGGAAAATTTGGAGCTATGCGATGTTTGGAGAATTCGTAATCCAAATGGCAAGAGGATTATCTGGAGGCAAAGACAACTAGATATTCATTGCAGACTTGATTTTGTTTTAGTAAGTCAAACTACAGTACTTACCAGCTTATAAGAATCTGAGTTCTCAGTTCCAAATGTACTCGTAGGGTGTACTCATGTGAATTCTAATTCAAAACCAACATGTACATACTACTGTTTTTCATACATTATTTATACCAAATTTAGAGATTTTTATAGTTCATACATGTTTAAGTTCACTACTTTTGAGAGTCATGTCTTTTATCTTTGCCTGATGATCTTTAAGGTTTATTTTCTAAAACAGGAACCTGTTTCAAATTTAGGCTAAATAGATTCTTATGTAAAGGGGGTCTAAATTGATATTTTTAGGCTAACAGGTTCGTGAATTCTAGGTTCTTATAAGCGGATTAGTACTGTATTTCCGATAGGTGGGTGCCGCGGAGTTCCCTATTTAAGGATAAAAAAAATTGATACCATTGTTAAGGCCCAAACCCCCAAAAAGACGCCCTATTCTAGGTCAAATAACAATAATGAAAAAACAAACAAACGGCTGACCTCGCACTGCAAAAAGAAGTCTTTATAAAATCGCTTTGCTTATGAGTTTAACCGCCTAGTTCAGTTTCAAAAGATCATTTGCTTTTCGTTTAGCTGGGCAGTTACACACTGCAATTTTAGCTGATACAATTTAGGTGGATCCCATTACCAACATAAACTGGACAGTTAATATCGGTAACGTTGTACAAGCAATATAACGTTAAGGACTATAAGGACCTGTTAGAGCTATAAGAGCTAAGGAATAATAATCATTTTAGGTATGTTGGATTAAGGGTAGCATGACATCAGGGATAAAGCATAAGCCGGGTAGTTTTAGGAATAATGGAAATACGTTAAGGTACAACATTAATTACACAAGAGCGACCAACTTTACAATGTATTTTTCCATTACCAAATCGGAACATATATCGAAAAAACCTCGCACTCTTTCTTAGCCTATTTTCTTCTGAGCGATATGGTCGGTAAGTGAACCTATACTTGGCCGATACTTGGCCGATACTTGATCGACACTTGACCGACACTTGACCGATACTTGACCGCTACTTGACCGCTACTTGACCGCTACTTGACCGATACTTGACCGATACTTGACCGCTACTTGACCGATACTTGACCGATACTTGACCGCTACTTGACCGATACTTGACCGATACTTGACCGATACTTGACCGATACTTGACCGATGCTTGACCGATGCTTGACCGATACTTGACCGATACTTGACCGATACTTGACCGATACTTCACCGGCAGTTGATCGCTACATATCGGCCGATGCATCGGCCGACAGTCGGTCGATATATCGGTTGACCATCGGTCGACTATCGGTCGACAATCGGTCGACTATCGTCGACTGACCGATAGTCGGTCGATTGTCGACCGATAGTCGACCGATAGTCGACCGATATATCGGTCGACTGTCGCCCGATATGTCGACCGAGTCCACCTATAGTACACATGATCCATTTTCTCAACAACGTCTTTGACATCTTCCTGGACGTAGCTCGTTTTACCTTTAAAGCACTCAGAACACTATTTCTTAACAGCAACAGAATCCAGAGGTCCCTCTCTTGTAAAGGAATATAACCTTTATGTACAGATCTTTTGCAAGTGCCTGTATGTTTTATTGAATATTGTAAAAAAAAAAAAGCTGTCCTTCCTAAAATGCCCCTATGTTTGTCTTCTGTCAATTTCCATATAATGCATGTGAGAGTTTTTTTTTTCACTTTTTGCTCTAGAAAGGCAGATAACAACCTCCTAGTTAAGCTTTAGTCAAAAGGGAGAGAGAGAGCCCTGAAAAATGACAAGAATGGCCAGAGCATAAATTATCTCCATATTGAATCTTGATTACCTCAAAAAACGAGGCCAAAATAATTTGTGAATAGAGGGGTAAGTTTCTAGAGTAACTGTGTTGCTGCATCAGCAACAACAAGCTTTATTACCAAATTGAGAAGTTAAACTTAATTTACACACATAATATATTTATACAAAAAAGGTAACATTTACTCAGAATAACTGAAAAGCTAATCTAGCCGAGTAAAAGTAAATAATGTTTAAATATAGGATGTATGTTGGCACTAAAGCTTAAGCAAAGCAAATTATTGGTAAAAAAAAAAAGAAGACAGAAAGAAATTAATAACTATAAGAAAAAGAAGAAGAAGAAGAAGAGACCAGTTGAAAACTCATGAACAGTAAGTCTGTAAGATGTTTAATTTGACTTTGTTTTTAAATGTTTTTAGGCGTTTAATGCTTTTGTCAAGGTGATTCCAAACTTTTACAGCTGCAGAAATCTGTACAGGGGGATCTGGGCAGGGGATCTGTACAAGATAATTTGGTTTCTTTCAACTATGCTGATAAACTGGCCACCGTAAAGAGAATCTACATGCAACGTTTCAAGGGTTAGCTATTTGTCAGAGCGAATAGCTTGTAGCCTCAAAATCACGCTAAAGGTTATCAAGAAGTCTTTATCTGCGTGAATTGCTGCACTACGAACATTTTTTGCGCGCCTGAGTGATATTGATAACACAGAACACATTTACATATAACCCAAGCGAAAGCTGAATTATTAATCTTTGTCAAAGAAACAAGTTAAAGCAGCAGAAAACTAAAAGGTAACTTAACGACCAATTCATAAGAATTCCAGCATTGCTTGGACTACATAAAAGGATGGCTCTATTGATCGCCGCTAAAATGCAACAAGAAACTCGAGGCACTAAAGTGCAACTGTGCTTAATCGAAAGACGTACGGTGTAGTGATAATTTGAGTTTCTGTGTGCATTATGACATTTCTCTACCGAAAATTTAAACCTTGTAGTTTCCAATAAAAAAACTCGCATTTCACGCAAACTGAGAGATGGCTGTTGATATAAGACAAAGTGTATCAAAGCAACTCATGAAACAGCTTCACTTACCGACCACATTAATAGAAACTGCGTGTGTCTCTACCTCTCTGGCACTAGAATCGAGCAAATAGATAGAGTAGGTGTATTCCTCATTTCTCTCCACGTTCTTCAGTGTTAGTGTTGCATCCAGCGAGGCATCGAATTCATTTGTGTTGCTCGGGTCGAACGCATTCCCATCCTTGCTTGATGATATTTGTTTAATTTTTTCACCAGTTTTCTGTCTCCAAAACTGAACGAAATACTGACTTGGTGCATCAGAATACCGCCACACAAGTGTGGCTCGGCTGCTGTTTACTCCAAGCACCACAGTAGTAGGATTGGAAGGTTTCTGGCTGATTCTGAATGCGGACTCTGAAGAAGGAAAACAGAAAACATTATATTAAACATCAACACATCAGACGTAACTTCAATAACTTCTAATTTCATGTGCATGAATATTTAAGGATGTTTTTAGACGTGTGGTATTATTTTAATAGCTTTATCTCTAACTGCGAACAAAACTAGAATCTATATAATCGTAACTCGATGAACATTACCTGACTTCTGAATTCCGGAACAGAATAAAAGTGTGACTAGAACCATTCGAAAAACACAAGTAAGAGAAAGATCCATTATCCTTTCACAAGCCCAAATTGGTCGAGATAATTTTTTTCCGCATTCTATCAAAGAAACATTCATGGAGTGTCTGATGTAACCTGACTCCCACGATCCTTCTCTTTCTTTCCCAATGAAAATACCGCGGTTACGGTTGGTAACATGTCTCCAAAAATATGTGAGACTCGATTGAAGGGGCTCGTGAGTAAAATATTTTTGTCAATACTAACACGAAGGGTAAAACGAAATTAACCAACACAAATGATTTTTTTTTTACGCTTTAGCGGCATATTTAATCACGCTTTTTGTAACATTATTTTCGTTGTATAATTTCCTCGCTGACACGGTCTGCACCTAAAGATTAAAGATTTTTCGAAGGAGGCTGTACACCAAATCGTTTATCGTTATTTTCTTTCAAGTGTGTGGTTTATTTTATGTGACTTTTGAAACACCTGAAGTGTATTTGTAGTTCGGTATTTTCTAGACCTTATTAGAAATTCCTCTGCACCTTTCATTTTAGTTCTTACGGTGGTGATTCGATACAAGAGATTCTAAACTCTTGTTCGTGATTTACTTTGGTTCGATTCAGTAAACAACAGTTCTGGTAACGTCTTTGAAGTCACCTAATTGCTTCGTAACCTTTTAATAAAAGGCGTCTCCAACCCTTAACTTCGTTGTTCATACCCTATTATTTCTCAAGCTTGAAACTTTATGGTCGTCTGTTAGGGTGTTTAACGGGGAAACAGTTGGATTAACGACTTACAAATCGTGCTTGAAGAAGTGCAGGCTGCGTCCGTTATCCTCTACAACAGATCGATACAAAACCTGTAAAAGCAACGATTTTCCGTATCCAGTTGACGATACTGCCACTTAATCGTTCTTTACATATAAAGCCTCTTATTTGTTTAACCTTTTAAATCAATGCCTTTATTATGTCTCTCAGTTAGTAAGTGCGCTAGGATTAGTCCGTATTTCACTGTACGGCCCACTAAATTCAAAAGTTTGTTTTGATCATCAAAATGCCTCTTGAAGTAAAGTTTGAAAAACTTCTTAAGGAAAAGTGCGCAGACGAAGAAAACGAACAAAAACTCAGAAGCAAATATTTCAGTCTTTCGAATTGGTTTCTTAGAGATTTTGGAGGAAGACAGGCGACGAAAGGGAGAAAGACGAGCACGACGAAGACTGCACTCGATTCGAGAACCGGATGATTTCATCGCTGCCGAAGGTCGTCAGACATTACGAAGAACACGAAATACGAGTGGAAAAAGTTTGAAGGGTTTTACGAATAGTAGGTCGATGGAAATTTTAATGTGATGAACATACCTGCTGCTGCTCTCAACAAACTCCTTGGCAAGTTCTTTAAAGATGTCCGCAAGCAAAATGGCGGCGAGTACGAGCCAGGAAGTGTTTCAAGCTTTCAAAAAAGTATACTCGAGTTATCTTCGTCTGGCTCATTCTTCTCCGTTTTCCGCTTCTCTTCCACAGGAAGCTCCACTAAGTAGGTTCAGCTCCGAAGCTATGCCACATCCTTCTGTCTTCGCGCGCGTTAACAAACATCCGCTTAATTTCCAACTGTCTCTTCAACAGCTTCCATGAGAACGTCGCAAAACACCAAAAATTAGGTACTAATTGTTGAAGTAAAAATTTGTAATTGTGGCGAGATAAAAATCATTTCTGGTCGAAGAGCTGAAGTCACCAGACTAACATTTCCTCTTTCCTGGTTCCCTCTCATCCACGAGGAGTCACATCATCATCATTATGGAGATTGTCTTCCCTCACGTCGAATTTGGTGCCCGAGACTCAATATTCGTCAAAAGTGTAATTAAATTTATCGAGCAAAATATTTCTCACTTTTATCATTTAAATTAGACCGGCTGGGCCACATAGCAACCACTGACAGTAAAAATAAAAATTACATGATACAATAAGTGTAATATAGAATAAAACATTAACTATACAAATTGACATGCTCTTATTCAAAACAGAAGTGTGCTGGAACGGGAGCTCTCTTAAAAGCGCATTGAATCCCCGATCCATCTTCTTCTGATTGATATGGTCCGTCCTTGTGTTGCCCTGTGACCCCAAATTTCGCCTTAAAATACACGGAGAGACACTTTGACATTGCACTTTTCTGGCCGCTGAGTCTCGATGAATAATTGGAACGGAAACCACAAGATTACTAACTTATCTAAGGTTCACTTCTGCCTTGGCTTAGAAGTTTTTTTAACAGATCGGTACCAGCAAGTTGCTCTGCATAGAGATTATTCATCTTGGACTCCTCAGCGAACTGGGTTGGGTCCCATTTTATTTCTTGTTTACATTAATGACATTCCAAGAAATATTACATCACAATCCAAACTCTTTGCAGATGACATAAAAGTGTAATGAGTGCTGAAATGAAGAGGGACTTTACCCGATTGCAGTCCTAGAGCAATGATTGGCAACTGCGGTTTAAAGCCGACAAATGCGAGGTAATGCGCATTTCGGAAAAGAATGATAATTCGGAGCCTGAATTACGTCCTGTATGGGAACCAGATGAAAGCTGTATCTAACGTTAAGGATCTTGGAATTCACATCACATCAAATCTATTATGGAGCCTGTAAACCAACAAATGTGCAAACAAGACAAACAGCGTGCTCAGATTTATAAGTCTAACAGTGGGCCCCAGGAACCCTGAATTGTTCTCGAAACTGTACAAGGGTTTAGTACGTCCAATACTCGAGTATTGCTATCTAGTGTGGCCTCCACACCTCAAAAAGGATTCGGCTATTTTAGAGAAAGAACAACGTAGAGCATGTAGATTTACCCTCAGAAACATTGGCTGAGATACGTCGTGTGAAGAGCGCTTTAAGTTCCTTAAATGGCCACTCTACATCAGAGAAGATTATTTTCTTCGCTTACCGAGTGCTACAAGACGGTTCACAGTCTAAAAAGGCTACATCCATTTGACTATTTTACGCTTGCACATGATTTTCAACCGTTTAGAGCCAACTATCGCCATAAACTTAAACCATTGCCCACGAATCTAAATAGTTTTAAGTATTCTCTCTTTATAAATATAGTCAATTAATGGAATAATTTCCATAAAGATGTTGTGAAAACAGAGTTTTGCCTTCACAAATAAACGGACGGACGGGGGCAACTCTTAAAAACTCTTTCTGGGTAAAGGCTTTCCTTGGGGGCACTCGCTGGCTGCGGGAAGGAATCGGAATCTATTACGGCTGCTGACTATCCTTGAGAGAATGACTAACAACAACAGGGTTGGCTCCAACGTAGATTTATTCTGCAAGCTCTACTACAATTTTGACCAGAGCGGACCTGGCGAGGGCTGGTTCAACCCCCGTTCTTCTCTTCTCTTCTCTTCTCCTCCTCTTCCTACTTTCTTTTTAAGCTTTACAAAACAGTCCTATTTAAACCTAACGTACATGGATAACGTAATGCCATGAATAATCTAAAGAATCATGTAATCTACTACACTATTGGCTAAGCAGAAATTTCGCCTTTTACAACATTAATTACTTTTAAAGAGTTCCGGTGGATACCAGTTACACAAAAGGACATGACAGGTGGCTGTTACAGTTTAACACTAATAATAACTGTTTACGGGTGGCTGAAGGAGAACTGGTAGCGTTTACGCTTTGCTGAACTAAGCTTTCTACGTTGAATATTGTATTTTTTTAAGCGCAAGCATGAAAGAACTCGATAACTAAAAATCCTATCGTTACAATGTTACGGAGGCACAAACTCTGAACATTTTCAAGAACAGACTCAGATGCCATATTACTAATGTTTCAGGGAATTTGGAATATTTCATTAGGAATTTTATTCTGAAGTAAATTTGTATTTTTGGTTATTTTACGAGACAAACTTGAAAGGTATAACTTATTTTGTCTCCTTTTCACCTTTCATTTGAATTTGAGTTGTGAATAAACAGTTGTTATTTAGAGTTCTGACAGGAGATCCTTTCTGTTTGATTGGGGAGCATTTTATTTACAAAAGGACGTAAAAGTATTCTATGAAAAAATAAAACCAAAAAGAAACTGTCGAATCTATTCTCTTTTTCAATTCCTTCAATTGCAGCTATACAGTGAAAAACTAATGAATCATTCCACTTTTAAACCTATTCTTGATTCTAACACCAGCATGGGATACTTCTTTGGATAATTGGCTGTTCAATGCCTGTGGCAACTTGAGTGGCAACGTCAAAAAGCATATTAGAAGGTAGGAGTCGTTAAAATGGCCGTTCCTTAACATGCACCACGAACAAGCAAGACGAACACCTCAGATCTATTTTTACCGACACAATTTGGCAATTTCTTGAAACAAAAATCAACTGTCCATATCCCTGTGCTAAATTATTAATTGCAACAGTTGTCTGTCCTTCCTTTGATATTCAAAGCTATTTCCTTTGCAACCTGGGGGAAAGCACCCTTTCTACCATTTTCATGATGTGAACTTTTCCCCGCCTTAACATTTCCCTATTTTATGAGGAAACTAGAGTTTGCTCTTGAAGTGTGTTTCGTAGTCTTTATCTATCTCACTTTGTTTGGAAAGGGTGCATAATTACAGCTAAGGACTGTAGTCTACTTCATGGCCCTATAAATAACAATTTACAAACCACACAACTATGAAAATAATAAAATTTCAATTGATTAAATAACTAAATATTCTATAAATTCCCAAGCTGTAAGGCGCGGACTTCCCTTAAATTTATTCACGGTAGAAAAGTAGACTAAATCATAAACATTGTTACACCGTTTAACAATATTACAAAATATAACATTCGCTTCATATTATTGGTATATACAAGCAGAAGGCGACAGGATTACTTAGAGAGCAATGTAATAACGGTATTAACGATAATAACGGTTTTCTTTAAAGATGCCATCTAGTAGATCTACATTACAGCTTCCCCAAACAAAACCACACAACTCAAGAATAGGTTTAATACTAGCATTAAATTGAACGAAACGATACTTAAATAGCAAGAAATTTTAAACTTTGCTGCGTGCATTTTGACTGACACCAGAAAGTACGATCATATTTCTCCGATAGTGCGTGAACTGGGCTCGCTAACTGTACAGTAACAGTTGCACTTGCGCGACACTACCATGATTT